TGCAAATAGTCACATTATCATTATGGAATGGGACGTCCCTATTTTCATCGGAGAAAGGTTGAATGGTATGAAATAAGCCTAATTCAGGCTTTACTGAAAATGGAAAGTCCACACAGGAACAGAGGACGCTGCTATATACTGCGTCAAACCATTGATCTATCTAGCTCAATATTTTCTACAGTCCTTGGCAGCGAATCTGCAAGATTTCAGGCCCTACCCTTGAGGCGCCAGGGACTGAACTTAGGACCTTTTGCATGCAAAATAGATGCTCTACCAATCAGGAGTGGAAGGATGAGCATGCTAGCTTCACATTTCTATCCCTATTGCCCTCCACAAGTTCAAGGGACAACTGTCTGAAATGAGGAACCTGCCTGCTTGTACTGGTGTAGACAGTGGCGGAGGAAGCTGGTTGGGCGCCTGGGGCGGCACGCCCAGGGACAGGGCGAACCATCCATAGGGACAGGGCAAGGGCAGGGCAAACTGCCCATAGGGGCAGGGCACACCGCAGGGCCTCCAGAGTCTGCCTGCGTCCTCCCAGTCAGCCACCCTACAGCTGGCAGGGGAGGCAGTGGGTGGACCATTTGGGCAACATGGAGCCTGCGCGCGCCCAAGCCACTATGTTTCTCCCAGAAGAGACGCGTGGCTCGGGTGCGCTGCAGGCCCCTCGGTGAGTGCTGCCCAGCATCTTGTCACCCCCCTCAGTGGTGTCACCCGGGGCAGCCCACACCCACCGCACACCCCTTCCTCCACCCTTGGGTGTAGATTCCCTGCAAAATGCGAAATTCTGATTTTTCAGGGTCCTACATCAACGGGAAGCCTCGACGCTGCAAGAACCAAGAGGTTTCCTTGCTTCAGTCAATCAATGGAGGACGGAGGAGCAGAGTCTAAGGAAAGAGTATGGAGTTGGACTTTTCCCCCTCGTAGTACCAACTCGAGGGAGATTTGGACAGCCGTTTTGTAAGAAGGTTGGCTACGAACATGCACTCGCTTCCTAGAAGGTTTGCTGCTTTCTGTGTTGGTTCCCCCATGACATTTATTAGATCGAGTCTACTTTGTTCTTTTGTCGTTTGTTCTTTTGTTTTTTTAATTGCAGCTTTTAGAGGTTAGTGGCTTTTTGTTTTTGTTTTTTTAATATGCTCCACGTCGCCTTAGCACTCCTGCTGAGTGGGAACGTGACTCACCACTGCTGCGGATGGATGGATGGATGGATGGATGGAAGGATGGATAGATAGATAGATAGATAGATAGATAGATGATAGATAGATAGATAGATAGATAGATAGATAGATAGATAAATAACATTTTCTAAGAAATGAGATTGCACTGAAACAACTGAATGAGCCTCAGGCACCACATCTGCAGCATGGGGTATAATATGCTGACCTATCGTACAGGGTTATCATGTTCTAAGCCGGGGTGTAAACAGCAACAGGATTCCAACAGCCCCAAGAGCCTAAAAGTACTACTACTACTACTACTACTACTAATAATAATAATAATAATAATGTTTATTGCCTTCTAAAGTACCATCTCTTTTTAAAAATAATAATTTTTATTTGATTTTTTAAAAATATAAACTTATAACAAAATCAATTAAAAATCCACATTAGGAGATTACCCTGAATCTCATAACTCTGTCCCATCCCCTCCATGGGTCCTAATTTCAATATTGACATCTGCATATCAGTCTGTTATCCACTTATTTTTTGTCCATCTAAGTTGTCCATAGTCTTTGTTTCCTTACAAGTGAGATTAAAATCCTGCTAATGTTTTCATCTGTTTACAATGGTCTCCTAAATAAATTATAATTTTTTCCTTTTCTTTTTTAAAGTTTTTATCTTCTTGGTTCCTGAGCTTTCCAGTTAACTAAAGCAGTTTACATATAAGATACGGGCAACCTCCCATTTACACATGTTCAGTATGTGCACAACTGCATGCACATGCATTCCACCAAATCCAGACGTGACCCAAAATTGTCACAGACAGGGGCAGCAGAATGGGGTGTTTGCAAGCTTTATCAATGGTGGTTCAAATATACACAATTTCAAATATACACGTGCCTTGAAACGTAACCCCCGCAAAAAAACAACAACAATTGCATTTAAGACAAATCTAAAACAATGTCTTCACTTCTTTCTAGAAACTGCAGGTCGTGAGTAGCTGTTATGTCTCCTGGATTTGCTAAATAGTATTATTCTCCTTGTCAGGATTCAGCCTTGTTGAGCCCTGGAACCAGAGGACTCCTTGTAAGGGGATCAAGGTTCAGATAATGTTTAAAATTATTTTTAGAATGCTTTTTTAATCATTGCCTTACCTGCCACCCTGGGCTCCCCTGGGACAAATGGCAGGTAATAAATCGAAGCAATTAATTAATCACCATCATCCACCCTACACCAGCAGCTCCCAGAGCAAGTGACAAAAATTTAAAATATTTAAAATAGCTAAAATGGGTTACAATCACAGGAACAGGATAGGCCTTGAAAACTCACGTCTCAGGTGTTAAAGGCTAGGGTGAAGAGGTGCTTCTTAACAACAACAACAACAACAACAACAACAACAACAACAACGTCACATGAGGCCTCAAGCCCTGTCAGAAATGGCTCTGCTCAGGCACAGATTTGCCACCTCAGAGAGCCGATCTGCCGCCTGTGATCAAAATGGGTGTGCAGGTCCTTTGGTTCATCATCCCGTCAAGCGGATCAAAAAGAAAGGGGAAAAGACCTTTATTGAGCACTTCTTGAAAGAGTCTGTGAAGTCGCTTATCCAGAGTTGCATAGGTGAATGTGTATGAGATGATGCTTCTTCAGAACATAGGTTTTTTGTAATACAGTGGAACCTCGGGTTAAGCACTTAATTTCTTCCGGAGGTCCGTTCTTAACCTGAAACTGTTCTTAACCTGAAGCACCACTTTAGCTAATGGGGCCTCCCGCTGCCACCACACCACCGGAGCACAATTTCTGTTCTCATCCTGAAGCAAAGTTCTTAACCTGAAGCACTATTTCTGGGTTAGCGGAGTCTGTAACCTGAAGCGTATGTAACCCAAGGTACCACTGTAATAATAACAATAATAATACTTTGTCCCTGCAGCAGGCTCAGTGAGAATCACCCTCCTGCACGCCTTCCTCACCAGAACCAGGGCCGTCTTAAGCATATCCGGGGCCGTGGTGAAAAACTCCCTCTGGCCTCCCCATTTCCCAGAGTTTTTTAGGGAGGACGGCACTGCCAGTGGGGCAAGAGGAGGCGGGCAGCAGCTGGAGGGCAGCTCCTCCAGCGGGGAGGAGGCAGAGGCTGGACACGGCGCCTCCTGGCTCAGCTGGCCATTTCGTGCCGCGGTGGCCACTGCAGACGGAAGCCCTGGGCACGGTGCTGGTTCAGTGCGGCATGGTGGAGGCAGGTGAGGGTGGCGAGCTGATGCCGGGAGGCGCCGCGTGCAGCCTCTGCCTCTTCCCTGGCACCCTCCAGAACTTGGTGCCCTGGTGCCCCACACCACATGCCTCTATGGGTAAGACGGCTCTGACCAGAACAGCCCCCCAAGGTCCCTGCAGTGCCCCTTCCAACATTCCAGACCAGAGTGAGTTCTTTTTAAGTTTCTCTTGTAAGTCTTGGAAGTGCCGGAATTTGGGTCTGGTTTCCAACTTCATCAGGCCAGGTTGGGAAAGGTCTTGAGCTTGATAGTATTTAAACCCTCTTGCTGCTTGAGCCAGCATTTTACAGTAGAACGTGCCATTCCCCGAGGCTGCTTCCTTTAGTCCTGATACCCTTCGCTTCCTCGCTGCTGGCTCAGCATTCAGACCGCAGCAACATCACACACACACACACACACACACACACACACACATCTTTGGAAGTGCAAATAGGACGGCCATTTCAAAGCACGGTGTACCCCACAGAGCCGTCGGGAGGCAAGAATCGGGGGGAAAGATTCTTTTTTGCACAGCAAAAATATCGAAAGAAATAATAAATAATATTAATAGCAGAGAGCCGGGTATCACGGGTGTTTCTCCCCGCTTTCCGCCATTGGTGCATGGGCACATGCATACGCATGGCCGTGCATGCGTGTAACAGAGAGACTCGTCTTCATAATTCATAGCCTGCTTGTGAAAGGGGGGGGGGAGTCATAATGGCAGAGTGTAATATGTCAAGCATCTATAATTCATAGTCCTGGGATCACACGGCAGCCGTGCAGCTCAGCTTCACGCGGCAGAGTGAAATGTTTGTAATCAATCTACAAAAAAGAGAGAGAGAGAAAGAAAGAGAGAGAGAGAGCTTAAGACAATGCAGCAGCTGGGAGGCAATAAATATGGAACGGAACTGGCGAGGTTTACTCAGGTGAAGGTATTGCCTTGAGCCTCCAAGGAGGCCTGTTGACAGTCACAATCTCTAATCAATAGGATTAGAGTAACCAAAGCAGGGCTCAGCGCAGAGAGAACTGTGATGACCCATTCTGAAAAACAGAGATGGAAGTTCTGTCTAAATCTATACCATAGACCAGGGATGGGGCACAAATGTGCCCCCCCCCAAGGCATTTCCCTCTGTCCCTCTGAATTCTATGCAGGCCACACCCCTGTTCGGCCCAGCTTTCACACTCCAAGTGTTTTTGCCTGGCTGGAATGTGTCCTTGAAGTCTGAACATGCCTCTTGCTTGCCTTAGATGCAAGATAAGAATAGAAGAAGAAGAGGAGGAGGAGTTTGGATTTAATATCCCACTTTATCACTACCCGAAGGAGTCTCAAAGCGGCTAACATTCTCCTCTCCCTTCCTCCCCCACAACAAACAACTCTGTGAGGTGAGTGGGGCTGAGAGACTTCAAAGAAGCCTGACTAGCCCAAGGTCACCCAGCAGCTGCATGTGGAGGAGCGGAGACGTGAACCCGGTTCACCAGATTACGAGTGTACTGCTCTTAACCACTAACACCACACTGGCTCTCTAGAATAGAATAGAATAGAATAGAATAGAATAGAACCACAAGGATCATCTAGCACAACTCTGTGCAATGCAGGAGTCTTTTCCCCAATGTGGGGATCGAACTCACAACCCTGGGATTAAGGGTCTCATGTTCTACCGATTGAGCTTGTGACTTTACATCCCTTGCTGCACCCACTTTTGGCTCTGGCCCCACTCACCCCTGCCATGTGTTCCCCACTGACAATTGCTCCATGACAGTTTGGACAATGGGATATAGATTTGTGGTGTAAAGAGTGCCCTCTCGCTTGAGTTAAAAAAACAGAATCATAGAGTTGGAAGAGACCACGAGGGTCATCTAGTCCAACCCCCTTTGCAATGCGGGCATCTTTTGCCCAACTTGGGATTCAAACCCACGACCTTGAGATTAAGAGCCTCATGCTCTACCGACAGAGCTAAGCTGCCCTTCACTTTTCTGCAACAGAGAGAATGTTAAGATTATTCTGTGTGCATGGGATGTTGGAGAGATCATTGAACATTATGGCGGTTGTTGTTGTTTAGTCGTGTCCGACTCTTTGTGACCCCATGGACCAGAGCACGCCAGGCCCTCCTGTCTTCCACTGCCTCCCACAGTTTGGTCAAACTCATGCTGGTAGCTTCGAGAACACTATCCAACCATCTCGCCCTCTGTCGTCCCCTTCTCCTTGTGCCCTCCATCTTTCCCAACATCAGGGTCTTTTCCAGTGAGTCTTCTCTTCTCATGAGGTGGCCAAAGTACTGGAGCCTCAGCTTCTGGATCTGTCCTTCCAGTGAGCACTCAGGGCTGATTTCCTTAAGAATGGAGAGGTTGGTAGAATTTTCAGGACCAAAGACAGAGTAGGACTTTCCCACAAAGCATAGAATCATGGCAAAAAAATCACAAAAATGTAACACCATCAATATTAGTAGTAGTAGTAGTAGTACTAGTAGTAGTATCCTGCCCATCTGTCTGAGTTGCCCCAGCCACTCTGTGCGGCTTCCAACGCATATAAAAACACTAAAAAAAACTTCCTTATACAAGGCCCCCTTCAGATGTGTTCTAAAGGCTGTATAGTTACTTATCTTCTTGGCTGGGGGGGGGGGTCTCATAACTCCATACCCTCCAACATTTCTCCAATGAAAATTGGAACCAAAGAAATGCCAGTTCTGGAGAACAAGTTGGATTTAGCAACAGTTCAGGGCTCATTTATGTTAATTGTGGGGGGTGGGTGTCCATTTGCAACCTTTATTGAGTCAGGAATTTGTGCGAGTTCCACATTGAAATTTCATGTGACGAATGTTGAGGCGGTCTTTCGGCATACCGTTCTTTCCCGCCATTTAAAATGTAGCACAGTTCCGTGACACAACAAGTAATTCGGTGTAGAAGGAATCTGTTTATCTACAAATTTCATAAAATTTAAACATTGCTTGATTGTAAAAACAAACAAACAAACAAACAAACACTCCTTAAATCAAAATGTTAGAATTTGGGACGGGAGTGCTACCATTATACAGTAATTAGAAAAACCAACACAATGTTCCCTATGTCTGAATGCACCCATACAGCCATTCTGAGTGCATTGCTGGAAAACAAACAAGTATGACTGCCATGAAAGTGCCATTTTCTTACCCCAACAACACACAATAAACAACCCCAAATGTGTCTGCTGGGCTATTTGAGGGAGTGCTATGGCAAGAAAGAAAGAAAGAAAGAAAGAAAGAAAGAAAGAAAGAAAGAAAGAAAATTTTGTGTGTCGGGGTGTCCCCTGTAGCAAAGCTCTCTGCCCCTCTAAAAACATGTGGTTTTTTTCCTGCACCCCTCTGAAAACTGCCCCAATCCCCACCCCATCCCTCTTTCACGGCCTCCAACTGGCCCCTGGAAGTAGGAAGGCAAATGTGGCAGGTTGCTAGTTTAGGCCCCACCAGGATCAATCTGAAATTACAACCTTTCTTTTTTAAAAAAATAAAAAATAAAAATCCTAACACACAGCACTTGGCATGGATTTGCAAATGGGTACAGAATTACAACAAGTGTTTCAGGAGATCGAGAGCGAAATGGCTTCCCGCCTCCACGGACGTGGAATAAAGGCCCTTTATTTTCTGCTGCACCAAAGCGAATTTGTTTTTAAGAAGGGTCTGAATAACCAGACGTTTGGATGAGCAGCAGTGCAGTTTACATCCACATGTGAAGCAAACAGAGTGCAGATTAAGCGGCTCACGAGGACTGGATAACAGGAAACAGAAAAAGAAAAAAATAAAGAGGCCAGAGGAAAAATGCCCAAACTCCTTTTTAAAAAATGGATATTTTTTAAAAAATGGGTTTTGTTCTTATTGTTCGAATCCTACCCTTCCTCTCAGAAGCTGAACCTAGGGGAGGACACAAAGGGTTAAGATTTTTTTATGGTTGATGTTGTATTGTGCTTTTAATATTTTGTTGGGAGCCATTCTGAGTGGCTGGGGCAACCCAGTCAGGTGGGAATAATAATAATAATAATAATAATAATAATAATAATAATAATATGCATCAAATGCTTGGCCAAATCTCATCCAAGGAACTTGTGGGAGACCAGGAGACCTTGAACCTGCCTCTCAGATTCTAATCAATATGCTGGCACTCGGTTTTTAAATCCCTAACCCCCCCCCCAAAGAAAAAAAGACCCTTAAAACAACCCTATGATGTGGTGGGGTAACAGAACTTTTCAGAAAACAGGAAACAAAACAGCCACGTCAGATCCCAAGCAGTGAGGGCAAGCTGTGAGGGGTTTGAGGGGGAGAGCACTGCTGTTTTCATATATTAAAAAATTGTCCTTTCCCCGCCATCTGCCTAGAAAAGAAGGATCTTGCAAAACACGCAGTGCTCCTCTCTTAGGCGGCCGTGGGCAGGCGGAGTGCTCCTCTCTTCGAGGACGGTGGGTACTTTTTTGAAAGTAGCCGTGTAATAATACACAAACCACTGATGATGTCAGCTTGTTATTGACTTTCCAAGTCTGAATGACTGAGCAAAGGAGAGGGGGGTGGGGTGGAATCAATCTATTGCAGGCGGAGGAGGCCGGCCAAGCGAAAATGAGCTCTCAAGGTTGCGCCGGGGAGGGTGGAGGATGGGCAGCGAAGCTCCTCTCCCTACAGCTTCCCCTGCTTGCTGCTGCTGTAGCTGCCGAGAGATTGCCTTTGAAAGGGGCTGTGGGGGAAGGGAGGCTGGCTGGGGGGAGGGGGGAATCAATGACAGCCCCAGAATAGGCTGCTGGGGGTGTGGGAGGGGGAAGCCCTCCAGGATTCGGAGAGGCTGACATTTTGTGCAAAGCTCCTCGGATGCAAAAAAGAAATACAAGCACATACAGGGAGAGCTTTGTAGCTGGGAGGGAGGCAAGTTGAAGGCTGTGGCCCAGGGAGCAAGGCGGCGGGGAGGAATGGTGGGGCCTTGCTGTGTGGTCCTCGCCACCGCCAGGTGTGTTTTTCCTCCGACAAAGGCCTTAATTCTTTCCGGCGTCTAGGGGGTTTGGTTCCACCACCTCAACCTCCAAAACACACCCTTCTTGCAAAAAAAAAAAAAAGGAAGCAGGGCAACGCTGTTGTTTTGATGGTTGTGTTCGAGCTGGAAAGCAATTGTTTCTGTTTAGTCGTTTAGTCGTGTCCGACTCATCGTGACCCCATGGACCAGAGCACGCTAGGCACTCCTGTCTTCCACTGCCTCCCGCAGCTTGGTCAAACTCATGCTGGTAGCTTCGAGAACACTGTCCAGCCATTTCACCTCTGTCGTGCCCTTCTCCTTGTGCCCTCCATCTTTCCCAACATCAGGGTCTTTTCCAGGGAGTCTTCTCTTCTCACGAGGTGGCCAAAGTATTGGAGCCTCAGCTTCAGGATCTGTCCTTCCAGTGAGCACTCAGGGCTGATTTCCTTCAGAATGGAGAGGTTTGATCTTCTTGAAGTCCATGGGACTCTCAAGAGTCTCCTCAAACACCATAATTCAAAAGCATCAATTCTTTGGCGATCAGCCTTCTTTATGGTCCAGCTCTCACTTCCATACATCACTACTGGGAAAACCATAGCTTTACAACATTGGACTTTCCTTTCGCTTCCAGGCATATCCACAACTGAGCGAACTTTCGGCTTTGGCCCAACCGCTTCATCAGCTCTAAATCTACTTGTACTTGTCCTCCACTCTTCCTCAGTAGCATGTTGGATGCCTTCCGACCTGAGGGACTCATCTTCCAGTGTCATAACTTTTATATGCCTGTTGTCTTTGTCCATGGAGTTTTCTTGGCAGGGATACTGGAGTGGCTTGCCGGTTCCTGCTCCAGGTGGATCACGTTTGGTCAAAACTCTCCACTATGACCTGTCCATCTTGGATGGTCCTGCACGGCATGGCTCATAGCTTCTCTGAGTTATTCAAGCCCCTTCGCCACGGCAAGGCAGTGATCCATGAAGGGGACTGGAAAGCAGGCAAGAGTGCAAAACCAAAGGTTGTGTGCCCTGCTTTCCTTCCTCTCACCTTTTCTGGTCCTGCAAAGCAAAGGGACAGAGATTAGGAGAAAAGTCAAGGATTTACCGTTCCTGGCAGGTTCCCAGCAGAAAAGGAGTTTCCCCAGACCTTCCTCTCTTTTGGATCCAGGTCTCCAGTGCAGGGCCTGGTCTTGTATGTAACCTGCGAGGTCAAAGGGCACAGGGTTTGGGGATGCCTGTGGCTGGATTGCCTGGCCTTTTTAGAAACAGTGTGGTGCAGTGGTTAAAGGGATAGACTAGGGGAGACCTGGGAGATCAGAGTTCAAATCCACCCAGCCATGAAGCTCACCGGATGACCTTGGGCCAGTCACTGTCTCTCTGTTCACAGTGAATTTACTTATAAAAGTATTTCCTACAGTGCCGTATCGTAAAATACCAGGGTGGCGTGCAATGTTTAAAGGCGAAACCCAATTTATTTATAAAAATGTGGATAACTGGTAAGGTGGCTGGCTGATCGATAATAAAAATTGAATAGTTGCAAAGGCCTGTCATTATAAAAAAGGTCTTCAAGAATAAAAACAGAACAAAACAGGAAGCAATGGGGGTGCCTGCCGAATCTCTGCTGAAAGGGAGGTTACAATGGCATCAGAGCCACAACGCTAAATGCCCAGTCAGTCAGGCATCTGTAACATACAGAGGATAAAATAGGGAGAGGGCAAAGCATTTACACCACCCCAAACTCTTTCATGGAAAGGTGGGGTATCAATGTCTTGGCATTGGGGTTGACGGAAACCGTGTGCCCAGCAATGGTTCTGATTCCTGTTCGCTTCTGGCAGAGATGTGCTCTGTGGAGTTTACAAGGTGGGCCCAAGTCTTAGGAACCCTTTTCTTGTGCCCCTGACATTACTGCACCTCAGCACAGACTTATATAGGATTCCATTGGAGAGGGCCTTCTCTATGGCAGCCCCTAAGTTGCAGGATTCACTCCCTACAGAGATATATCTGGCT